TCTACCTCGCTAACTGATACAACTGTAGGTTTCTTCTCAAGGAATACTTCGGTAAGAACTGCCTTGGAGTGCAAAGAAGCCTTCAGCAATTCCACTCCCTGTTAAACGTGTAAACAAAATAAACATCACAACAAAGAACCTGCAGTAAAATCTGTCAAAATTTCTGACAATTTTGGAGCCATACCTTATCCATGCCCACATCAACCACCATTTCTTCAAGTGCCCCTATATCTTTGATATTGAACTTGTTAATCATGGTGATACTTGAAATAGTTGACATGGGTCTCACCTGTAGATCATCCATGATCATATATGTCACGACCCCTTTCACATAACCTTCTTCAGGAGAGCAAGCCTTCTTATTTGGTGGATCAACATATTTCAGATCTCTATTCATTGAGCCTCCACAATTAGCACATTGCACGCTAGGATCATTCGTCACTTGATTATGGCAGTTATTATTATTGAGCCTGCTACACCCATAAAACCTTGCCGAATTCGTTATCTGTATATTTGGCAACAGCAGAGGAGCAGCTGCTGAGGCATACACGGTAGGCTTCAACAGGGCATCCAAGGCCACCTGTGATGCCTGCTTATACGTATCACTTAGAGTCTCAATGCTCTCATAAAGCCTTCCAAGGGCACCAACCATCCCTTGTTTAGACAGAATTGTTATCACAGTCCCAATAGGCAGGGACAGTAAGTTAAACAGAAAATCAACAAACTCTTTACCGGCCTCAGCAAACAGTACTCTGTGACCCTTCGTGTCTACCAGAAGCTTCAAGCTCAGTTTGGTTTCAACAGCTGCCATGGTCACTGAAACTATATTTCTCTACTTTTGAGTATCACAGATAGTTTATATCAGAGATTCTGATATTGCAGGAAATAAAACTTAATTAAACAAGGGACAATTATCAACCAAAATTTTTTTTAAAAAAAATCAACAATATTGAGAATTAAAATGTGAAGAATAATAATAAAAAGACTAACATACTCATGAATCAACACGGAATATTTTTTACGGGTATTCAGGGAGTACTAAGAATTAG